GGAGATGAGTGGTCTCTTGGGCTTCAGCTGGCACTTTGTTAGGATTGACCCTCCTGTCCAGTTGTTCTGCTCTGAAACTCCATGACCATTTTGGATTTGCCTGCAGGAGAAACCAGGTAGTTCAACCAATCCTGTAGGGAGCTGCTTTTTCCCCTTCCCTTCCCTTCCCTCCCCTTCCCTTCCCTTCTACCAATACCCCCTGAAGTTCTATCACAGCTTTAGTTCCAAGGAACGCCGCACTCATCCTCCCTCAGCTTAGGTCCCAAAGCTGTGGGGGCATTCTTGACACCAGTCCAGCAATCTTCCAAGGCTGCTGGACATACATGGAAATCATGTCTCTCCCCCACTATCCAGGTTAAGCAGTGCAGCATCTAAACAGCAGGGGTGGGGGTGGGGAGTGGAGGTGAGCAGCTATATCACCTGGATGAGAAGCCAGGAGGAGCAGCAGACGGCTGACTATGGTTGTCACCTGCAGAGCCATTTCCTGGCTTCCCTTCCCATGGGGGAAGAGAAGCTGGGAGAGTAATTCTTCAGCTGGCAATCCTCTGTGGTAGAGGGAGAGAAGACCTATGTCCCCTCCTTTCTACCCATGGCAAGAAGCAGAGGGAAAGAATGGGGGACTGGGTCTCTTTTCTCCACCCCTTCCCCTGGTGTGGGTGGCAACAGAAGTTGGGGGGGATGGGGGCAGAGAAGCAGCAAAGAATTCAGTGCTGTGGAATGATCTCTTCATGGGATCAGAGAACTGACAGCAGAAGACCCGTGGTTACCGGCACCAAAAGTGGTGTTCTTCATCTCTGTTCTACGCAGATTCTCAGTGCAAGCAGAATCCTTATTCTGTTTTGTTACTGAGGCAGTCAGCACTTCTTTAAGCCAACATCCTTTGTGCAGGCTCCCACACTGGATAAGCACACTTTAGTGTTGTTGTGTTGTTTCACAATTGTTGCTCCACATTTTTCTATTCTTGCAAGCCACTCTTTCTTCCACTGTGTCCACAGACTGATTTATAAATTGCCTTTTGTTCTTTAAACCTCACCTCTCACCTTTTGAGAATCTCATTAATTTCATCAAATCACAACTTTCTCTGTCTTTCCTTTCCTTTTGATCCATTCATTCTTCCTTCATATATCTGCTTTGCAATTAAGTCTTCATTCCTTCCTTCCATATGATCAAATCAACTCAATATATTTCATTCATGCTGGTCACTCACTTTTGTGTTTAGTCCACATTCATTCATAACTTTACCACATCTTGTTTTATTACACATCCATCCATCTTCTTTTGATTCTTAATTTTAATACTATTTTTTTTCTTGGAAGTTATTATTTTGAATCCACTCCTTTACAACTGAAGACTGGAAATCAAAAGGACACATTCATATCTGATGAATCTTACAGCAAACACACATTGAGCAACAGCTCTTATACACCTATATTACATAGAATTTTCGACACATGCATCTTAATAAACAAAAAGGAAAAACAATATCAAATATCATGAAATGAAACTCAAAAGTGATGAAAACTGGAAAAATACATACTTAGAATGTGCAATTGAAACCAAACAAAATGAGAAGATGGCTAGTAGACATACATTCCAGAATTCTCCCAAATCCCTTAATTCAAAGGCTGAATTGGCTATTTTAGTATAGAGGAACAGTTATTTCTACTTCTACTGGAATGCTATCTAAATACTGTAGCTTATCCTGGCAGTAACTATTAGTTGTACTGCAGCTGAATTACTTTGCTTTTTTTCTTGCTTCAATAAAACTCCAAAAATGCTTTGAAGCCTAAACCTGCTATCAAAGTAGTAAACACCCAATCCACTGAGAAGAACAAGCCAAAGTTAGTGACAAAGTCTAATAGTAGCAACTGATATAAAGCAATATTCAAGCCAGAGAAATAAGTGAGCAAGTTATGAGCAAATATGCTCCCTAATGCAAGGAAAATGCCAGGAAACTGGAAACAAAATATACAAGACATAAAGAAGTATTCAGAAAGATAGTGACAAACAGTGGGAGACAACAGAAATCACTACAAAGGTCCATACTGATGAACTGATTACAGCATCTGTAGCTCATTTCTTCTTATAAGTGCACAGTATTAATTAATAATAAAGTACAAACATAAAGTGTCATCATCAAAAGAAACAGCAACATAAACACAGTTAAAAACAATCATACCCCAATAAAGTCACTAAAACCAAAGGACAGCCTTAACAGTAGAATGGAAGATCAACAGGGATTTCCAAATCCCTGTTCAAATCAGATCTCATTTGGGAAGGAGGTACTTAGGGACCTTCTGGTATTGCATACATCAGAAAGTCTCCAACCTCAACATGAAATCCACAATGCTACTAAACAGTGTCCACTGATATTCAATATATTTTTAAAAAATAAATTTGAAAATTAGAGATCACCCAAATCTCACAAGACAGCCCAATAATTAATTCCTGTGTTCTCACATGAGATCTCATAAGCTTTTGAAAAAAATCAGTTTTTCAGAAACTCATTGCTTTTTATATTTTAGCACTTGCAATGTTGCGTGAAACTGCCTGGTTGCTAATTCTTGCTCTAACCCTTCTTCTTGTCACATATAGACTGTTCTCAGTTATGGGGCTATAAGCGGAAACCCTGGTCCCATGTACCATGTCTGATTCTGTGTCTTGAAGACCTGTTTGGGGACAGGAACTGCACACAAAAAATACGAATAAATAAAATGATCACTGGCAACATGACAATAAATGGCGATGGTGGTTGGAGTTAATGGGAGTTGATGCACAATAAATATAGAGGACAGCGCTGTTTTAAATACGTAATCTGCTCCATTTTAGGACAGAAAAGTTGGCCTGGCACAAGCACAAATGTTTTTTTGAGGGAAGGCTAGAATAAAAGCATCACCACTAAATTAAAGATAGATTATCTTTTGGGCAAGTGAAGAATAAAGTAAGCAAACAAAAATCTTGTCTAACACAGCTATTATCTTGAGGAAAGGGACAAGAGCCCGTGGATGGAGCAAGCTGCAGGTCTTTAGTTTGATCCCCAGCAGCTCTTACAACAACAAATAGGAAAGACCTTTGTCAGGCAGGGTACATCAAAGTGGGCAAGACAGATAAGCTGAGACAACTTGTCTCCTGGGTCTCTCTTTTAATCCCATACTCTTTAAAATCTTAAGCATTTTATAGACTTCCCAAAAGAGAAAATTAAAATTAAAGAAACAATCAAACTGTAGGAGAGTATAAAGATAGCTTTGACAAATATTATGGACGAGCCGTACCATTAAGAGAAAGTAAATGACAGCTCAGCGCTGGGAAAGGAGGGAGTGAGAGAAAAAGACTCAAAATGTCCCCCCCCCATCTGTTTGGTACAAGAGGGGGCAGAAGGAACCTCTGGCAGGCTTTAAAGATTCTGTTGTTATACTCAACAACAATAAAGAATATTCCTGTAATCCTTGTTGTGTCTGTTTCTTGACCTTGCCTACCTCAAAGAGCTGACACAAATACTGTATATTTGAACAGAACCACAAGCCATTTGGGTGTCCATTTTCAGTTGGTTAAAAGTTATACCAACAAGATGACCCACCGAACAGAGGTACATGATTATGGCTTCAAGGTTCGGGCTGCAGACTTCTGACCAAGCCCCAGGCCGTGGAGCTCTTTCCTACCACTGCAGGGTCATTCAGATTTTTGCAATTCACACCTGCTGGCCCTATTTATGTGGTGGATGAGGAAAAATGCATATAAAAGAATGATCCTGCAAGAAATCAGGATCAGATAAAGATATTGTATAATGTATATATAGAGAAAAAGATAGCTGAGAAGAATGTGGTCAAAGACAGCAAGATTAAGAGAGAGACAGAAAATTTTATTTCTTTGATGGAAATAAAAATATTTTAGAAGTGGGTGAAGAGGGTTAAACAAGCAGCTTTCAGAAGCATGAATGGAATTAAAAATAAAAGTGATGAAATTATTTGGGATAAAATTGATATCAGGGAGTACTTAGAGATTTCTATAGGAATTATAGTGATGAATCAAGGAGTGGAATGGAAACGAGTGCTATAAATGTGAAAAAAAGAAAAAAATGGACAAATAAAGGGAACTAGTAGATGCTGTAAGAATGGTGAAAAACTGTAAGATTTCAGTAGATGTAACTGAAGAAATGTTAAAGTATGGATGTGGTTGGTTTATGGCAGTGTTTTTCAAACTTGGCAACTTTGAGATGTATGGACTTCAATTCCCACAATTCCCCAGCCAGCCATTTAGGTTGATTTAGAGAAAGTTAATAATAAACAGATTTGAAGAATTTAATATTGTTAGCTACCCAGAGTCATGTGCTTGAGATGGGTAGTCATATAAATATATTACATTAATATCTAAATTTGAACCAATGTAACATTGAAAGTTGGTTGCTATCATTTGATAACAGTAACATATGTTGCAAGTAAAGCATGTGAGAGAACAAATGGAATACTTTGGAAATGGTTCAAAATTGAGCATGGCGTAAAATGACAATGTGGATGTTTCATTGGTTGTTTAATGTAGTTAATAAATATGTAAACTGTGTTGGCTTGGAACATGAATGTATTTATACTTCTGTATGCAGTTGATACTTACCGTTGGCTGAAAAATATTTTCAGCGAATGTCTTATAAATTATATGATGCAATGAGCAGTATGAATCTGAAAATTAACATATCAAGAAATAGTTTTGCTTGAAGGGGAAACAGACCGCATAATTGCTATCTATCTATATCATAAATGTTTATTAAAGATGGGGAAATCAATGGAGAAAATTTTCAGATATACAAATACTGATAGAATGTGGATAGCAAGTGATCTGTGAAGATAA